TCTTCAATAGTTAGTCGTAAGCATGGCCTAACAAACTCCCATCACCTTCTCGTTCCGAGAAGGCGTTTCCCGTCATCTGCCAACGAACGATAAAGTGCAGCCAGCCACCCGAGACAGGAAGATATTGATATATTTGTGGCAGTTACAACCAACACGTCCAGCTCGCTCCTCGTACCTCGAAGACGTTTCCGGTCATCCGCCAGCGAGCTTCGGGATGCGATCCGTATCCGCTGGTTGGAGAAAAAAGGGCCCAAAAACCAACGGTGCACGGCGGAGGCGCTTCCCGTCATCCGCCACCGTGCCTGCACGACGTGGGTGTGTTATGATGTACAGTCATAAACCCTAATAAGGACGCGCGGTAAGGACGCAAGACCCTTGGAAGCCGAAGTTGGGATTCTTGGGGCGGCGGACGACGAACACCCCAAGGACGCAAGGGTACCCTGACAAGCGGGCAAGCGAAAGAGGCCAAGGACGAGCCGCAAGAGCAAGGAAGAGCAAGGACGCAAGGGTACCCTGAGCAAAGTCGCGCGTCCTAATTAGGGTTTTTGACTGCAAGGTGGTGCCCGATAAGGCTTCTGCAGGTCTTTGAAGGGCTCCCGCACCTCCAGTCGGCACCTCGCTGCGTGCATCGACCCCCGCCCCCTCCCAAGCCTCCTGGCCCGTGCCCTCTAGACACAGTCGGGTTTGGTTGGAGGGGGAACGCGAGAGGGCGCAATATCCCTCCAAGGGCCGCATCGCCACAGGCAATGAAAGCACGGGTCGCTGAATACAGAACACAAGGGTACCCTTGATTTGACAGAAGGGGGGGCCGCGGGCGCGACGCACCCGCAGACACTGCTTCAACCAAAATCGGCGTGCTTTCCAATGTGGCGGGTAGGCCCACACGGAGTGCCTTCTCAAATGACAACTCCGCGCGTGCGGCGGCCCGACTGGAACATCGGCGTGGGAAAACATCAGTGTGAACTCCAACAGGGGCGGACCCTCACTCTTGTCCGCAACCGCGGGCGTGAATCGATACAGCCTTGCGGGTCAGGGGGCTCCCATGGGTCCCCCTGGGCCCCAGGCCTGCAGAAGAAGTCCGTCGAGCCCGCGGGCACCCAGGGAGCTTCCCTCCGCCGAAACTTGAGACCGCCTGCTATTGGCTGCGCCCTTGGCCGCCGAAACATCAAACCGCCTGAGCCGCTGGTTGCGCCGATTTCTGCATGGTTGTGCCGATTTCTGTCCGTCGGGCGCCTGCGGCGGTGGCCATCGCCGTCGGCGTCCGCACAGGAGCCCGTGCTCCTTACCCGCGAGAACGCACGTGACTGGCCCAGCCCACCCCTCCCGTCCCCCTGGTCGCGTCACCATGCGCGCTGGTGTCGTCTGGGAAGTCGCCGCTCCCGGGCATTCCCAGAGAGTGCGGGCGCGAATCGCGGCGTGGCTGGTCCCCTCCCCGCCCCCCCCCGCCCCCTCCCGCCCCTCGGCGGCCAACCTGGGGGTGGGAACTGAGAAGGGGCGGGCCTTCTCAGCAGGCCAGGGAGTCCCCGGGCCTTCGGAGAAGTTGCCTAAACCTTCCCAGCAGGCGCAGAGCAGGAGGGCCTCTGAGAGGCCCCGCCGCCTTCTGAGAGGGCCCTCTCCTTCCCACTTCCCCAGCTCGCTCGCTGCCGAACCTCCCCTGGTCACGCCCGTTTTCGCCATGGGGGAAAGAAGCGGTCTCCAGGCGCCCGATCTGGTGTGGAGTGGGCGCGTGACCACGCAGCCTGCGTGCGCTGAGGAAATCTGCGGGGGGTGCGAGCCCGAGCCTTCCACCAAGCGGATTCCAGAACTCCACTCGCGGTCGCGGTACACCTCTCTGAAGCTTGAGGCAAAATGGCACTGCACTTGCGCTGGCTCACCCTTGGCTCAGCGGCCCGTGAATGTGCATGCAGGCGCGGGGACGAGTCGGGACATCCCACAAGCTCCCTCAGAATCTGCTCAAAGCATGCCCTGACAATTATACAGGACAGTTTTTTTTATACATAGGATTTTGAATATATAGGATTTGTAATACATCATCAATGTATGGATAAATGTGTGCATGACCTCATCTTTGTTTTTAATACTAAATCCCTGCAAGTGTAATACATGATCCGCACGCGGAGCATGTATTAAAAACGGCACTGTACCATGGACACCGCCGCCCTGGTCATTTGCTCGAGCTGCCGTCGGCCTTGGCGAGCTGTTGGGACTACAAGGGCATCCTCGACCGGGTGACACCCCGGCGTCAACGGATACCAGGTCAGATCCCAAGCGGCATGACGAAAGGTGGAGAGCGCGATATGCCGCACAAACACGGGGGACCGTGCGGGAGAGCATTCGCAATACGGGCCGAACCATCTACGGAAGGACATACGGAAGGCCATACGGGAGACCACATGTGAGGCCACACCAAAGACCTCAAGTCGGGGAGACCATACCTGAGAGTCCTCGGCAAGAGACCATACGAAGAGACGATACAAGGGACCATACGGGAGACCATCAGATCCGCCGACCCCCTGTGGGTCTGCAGGCGTCTGAGACTGCTCCCCCCGGGGACTCCCACCTGAGACCCCCCAACACGACCCCACCGGCCCCTCGCCCCCTTCCCTTGAGCAGGGACTGACCGTCCCAGCATTCCTATAGTCCTACCACGAAATGCTCTTAGAACCCGAAAATGTTCTAATTCGCCGGCCCAACGGGCCAGGGCGTGCTAAGATCTCCGGTAACTGATTAACAGTATTAACAATATTTCTAGTTCGCGCGCGCGGGGCGGCCCCTGGGGGTCCCCCGGCGAAAAGTACCCCGACCAACGCCCGGTCGCCGCCCGGTCGCCGCCCGACCGCCGCCCGACCGCCGCCCGACCAAGTCTACTCAGAGATGGTTTTCCTTCTGGGTGCGGCCTCTCAGGCTCCCCAGAGCGCGCTCAGAGTGCCCCAAGAGGCCCCCAAGACTGCCCAAGAGGCCCCCGAGACGCCCAAAGAGCGCTCGAAGACGCCGAAGATGACCCCAAGACGGCCCAAAAGGCCCCCAAGACAGCCCAAGAGGCCTCCAAGACGCCCCAAGAGCCTTCCAAGAGGCCTCCGAAGAGAGCCCCAAGAGGCCAAAATCGTTGATTTTCATTTGTTTTTTCTATGTTTTTTGTGTTCTGGCTTTTTCGGCTTCCGGACGCTCCAAGACGGCCCAAGAGGCCCCCAAGACCGCTCCAAGACGGCCCACGAAGCTCCCAAGACGGCGCCGAAACGACCCAAGAGAGCCCTCAAGACGGCCCAAGTGCCGCCCAAGACGGACCAAGAGGCCCCAAGACGGGCCCAAGAGGGACTCAGGAGGGATACCGAGAACTCAAAAATGGAGCCCTCCGTCCCAGAAGGCGCCCAGGAGGTCCCAAAGAGGCCCCAAGAGGCCTCCAAGAGGCCCCAAGATGTCGCCAAGAGGCCCCAGGAGACTCCCAGGAGGCCCAAAAGAAGCCCCAGAAGGCTTCAAACATGTCTCCCAGGCGCCCCCGAACGGCCTCTCAACAGACCCCAAGAGGCCCCCCAAAGAAGCATCTTGACGACGACTCTATTTCGCCCCATCGAGAGACGACCCCCAGGGAACTGCTTCACCATCAAAACTCCCCACGCAACGCGTCCGAACGACACCCGCCCCCAAGAGCGCAACATGGGCAACGAACACACAGACAAAAACCAGCGATGCCATATCACGGGCCGGCGGAATGAGCGAAGCGATTCAATAATCTAGCAATGTCGTAACCGAGGCGAAGGGACTCCCCTTTCCTTTGATCCCCTGCTCGTCGGGGTGGGGGGTCCCGGGGGAGTAGGAAGGGTGGATGGGGGTGGGGAGGCAAATACGCATTCCCCCCTGGGAGTTCCCGGGGCCTTAGAAAGTACAAAGACAGGCCAAAGGGGGCCCCAAGAGGCCCCCGAGACAGTCCAAGAGGGTCCCCAATCGCCAAACGATCAGTCCAAAAACGCCTTCACGCCCACTAGTCTGCCCAAAAGGCCTCCAAGACGCCCCAAGAAGCCTCCAAGAGCACTCCCGAGAGGGCACCAAGAGGCACAATCAGTTCACGTTCCGTAGGTGTTCAAAAGATTTGGACATTCTCGCCTTTTCCTTTTCTCGCAGCTCCAAGACGGCCCGAACGGCCCCAAAGATCGCCCCAGGACGCAAGAGAGCCCAACAACAGCCTAAGAGGACCCCAAGAAAGCCCAAAATGCCTTCAAGACGGCCCAAGAGGACCCCAAGACGGCTCCAAAAGCGTGCGCAGACGGGGGACCCGAACGGACATTTCGAGTCCTCGGCTCCGAGAGGCTCCCAGGAGGCCCCAAGAGGTTCCTAAGAGGCCCCAAGAGGCCCTCAAGAGGTCCCCATGGAGCCCGAAGAGGCTCCAGAGAGACCCCCAAGAGGCTCCAAGGGGCTCCCTAGAGGCGCCCAAGAGCCTTCCAAAGGGACCCCAAGAGACATCTTGGGCCGTCTTGGAAGCTTATTGCGCAAGCTTGGAGGCGTCTTGGACGCTCTTGGGCGGTCGTGGAGGACATCTTGGACTATCTTGAATGAACTTGAAAACTTGGGCCATCTTGGAGCCATCTGGAGCGGAACACCGTTTGCAACCACCTCTGGGCAAGCCTTCCGGGTGGCCAGCGCATCGGCCGAAGCCCCAAGGGGGAGCTCTAAAAGAACCAAAACCCTGCCGCACTTCAGCACGCCAGGGACCCCTGTGGCAAGCCAGCAGGCGGCAGCGGATCTACCGCCCGTCGGCTCAGACCGCCACTGTGCCTCGGTGGCGGGTCAGAGGCTTCTGGGACACCTGCTGGGGTCTCCTGTCATGCCTCCTCTCGGGGGCCTCTGGGAGCCAGTTTTGGAAGCCTCCTTCGGGACTGTGGGGGGGCATTGGGGGGCCATTCTTCGGCCGTTGGGGCCGTCTTGGGAAGCTCGTTGGGCCTCCTGGAGCACTCTTAGGAGTCTCTTGGGCTGTCTGGGACGATCCTTGGGGCCTCATGGGCGCTGCGAAGATCTAAGCATGGAGCGTGCTGGAACCGCACGTTTTGCTATGAGATTGGAGCAGAGCTGGCTTTCCCAGGCCCTCTTAGGGAGCATCTTGCAGCCCCCTTGTTTTTTCATCTCAAGGAGTTGTGTAACAGCTGGCCCCGCAGTGCCTACCCAGCCGACGGAGCCGCCGGACGCAGTGGCCGCTTCGGAGCAGCTGTCGAAGTGATGAGGCGCCCTCACGCGAGGCCTGCTACTGCAACTGAAGCCACAGCTGGGCCCCCGTCGCCGCGCGGTCCTGCCACAAGGGCCAAACGCTGCGCACAGGCGTCAGGTGTGACAGCTGGCCTCGCAGTCCCCACAAGGATGGCCTACCCAACCGACGGAGCCGCCGGACGCAGCGGCCGCTGCGGGGCAGAGAGACGCGCTCTGACCCGTCAGGGACGAGATCTGCATCAGGGAAGGGTGGTGGACGCATTCCTCCGAAGGCATCGCTGCCTCCGTATGATCACATTCTCCTAATAACCCTCCGACTGAAAACCCAGAATGCCTTAGATGATTGACGTAAAAATTCAACATGATCGACCCACGAACCCTGAAAGGAATGTAGAAATGTAAGGCATGGCAACGTTTCAAAGACACCTGATTGGGCGGCGGGCACATGCAATGCTGAATGTATCGATCTTGATGTACCGTGCCGAGGGTTGTGCTGTGCTACGCCGTGCTGAACTGCGATGTGCCGTGCCGCGATTATGCTCTATATAGCGTTGTGGATCGAGCCCTCTTTGCACCCGAGTCCTCACCGAACTGATCTGGATCTTAAGCTCGAGCTGCCTGCCTGAGCAGATGGTAGCTGCCCCAGAACGAATCGACAGGTGGACATGCCAGGAGGACGCGCAGCGGAACGTCCCCAGGGACGCGCCAGGCGACGTGCCAGGGGACGTGCCATGGGCACGCACCGCGGGACGTGCCAAGGGGACGCGCTACGGACCGTGCCAGTGGACGTGCACCGCGCGACGTGCCAGGGGGACTCGCCACGGGACCCTCCGCGGAACGTGCCAGGCAACATGCCAGGCTGCAATGCTAAGGGTATCGATATTGATGTACCGTGCCGAGGGCTATGCTGTGCCTGGGCGATCTGGACACGTGAAAACAAGCGTTTCGCTCAAGACGTTCTCAACACATCCTCATGCTAGACTCCCGCCTGGGCAACCTGGACACGTGCAAACAAGCGTCTCGATCGAGACTTCCTCGACACACCCTCATGCTAGACATCTGCCTGGGCGACCTGGACACGTGAAAACAAGCCGCTGGTTCGAGACATCCTCAACAAGTCATCATGCTAGACATCTGTCTGGGCAACCTGGAGGCGTGAAACCAAGCGTCTCACTCGAGACATCCTCAAGACCTGGGCACGTGAAAACAAGTATTTCACTTGAGAGATCCTCTGAATTCAGGCCCCCAGGAGAGGACAAGCTATAACACAAAAACAAGCGTTTCGCTCGAGAGATCCTCAACAAATTCTGAAAAACAAGCGTTTCGCTCGAGACATCCTCACACATAAATTCGCCGTCCCTGAAAGACCTCGTTATCGCAAATAATTTCGCCGGTCCTAGAGCCGTCGAAACCACGGGTAAACAGCTAAAAGAGAACCCTGGGGCCCCGCCCTTTCGGGGAAAAAAGGCACGACCGTGCCTGCCCAATACGTGTGTGGCGGCATCCAGGCTGTGCCTTCGCGACCACGGGCCACTCTAATAAATGTCTGCCCCATCCGGGTCGATGGAAAAAAGCGAGCCGATTGATCCAGTCGGGTACGCATAATTCAGGACACGTGCGACCCCGAGGATCCAGAAGATGCACGGAGGCGGCCGCCTGTGGAGACGGCGCGTCAAACACCTCCTCACACTGCCCTGAAAAGGCAGTGGAATAAACCGCGTGAGATGAAGCTTCGGGACACCCCCAACGCTAGCATGCGGCTCAAAACATGGCGCAGGCGGCAAGCACGCGCGCAATGCGACTGTCCCCGCTGCTGGCTCTCACTCTCTCTTTCCAGATGCGTCGGAGCAGGGCGAAGGCGCTTACGTACGCGAACGCATGCCTGCCCTGCTGGGGCTCGGACAACTGAACACTCCACCAGTGTCGGGAACGAGGGACTCGCCATCGAGGGAGTCGGCATCGGTGGACTCGCCATCGAAGGACTCGACGAGGCCCACGATCGACACATCCTTGCCTTTGCGTGTGGGGAGGAGCACGGTATCAACGTCGTCGGGAAACCACCCGCCCTCCTTCGGCACGAGCGATGATCCGGCATTCCCCAGCATTGGCCACTCCAACTCTAGGTTCCACATCTTCACGTTTCTAAGGCTTCCGTGGAAGGCCTGGTCGGTGTACATGTAGTGGCCGCCCACGATCATGCGCGGCCTGTCCTGTCGCAGAGGGGCCATGCCCTCTGCGTTCTCCCCTACGAGCGCACCGTCCTTGAAGACCCGCATGTGCCCCGAGGGCGAGACCGTGCACAGC